GCATTTGCTGTGTTCTAATAAATATTTAACTGACTAAAGTTTCTTATCTTAAAAATCAAATAATCCATAAAACAAACCCTCAGACCCAACAAACCTGTTGTTTGTCCTGCCAGAATGAACAGGAACATTTGCTTCTGAGCTGCATTGCACATGGGGTTTATGCAAAATAAGCCTTGTGTGTGATAGTTTTTGTTCTCTGCCATTGTGGCATATGGACTTGTACAAGCAGTGGCCTTGTCTAGCAAGTGTTTGGCACAAACTTGGCATTTCTCCTTTTTTGTGTTCCCTGAATTGCTAACAGTTTCATGTGAAAAGTGGCTGTTGGACAAGTGGAGGGTGAATACTGAACCAAAAAGTTGTCTGAACAGCAAAATCTCTGTCATGGTTTTTCCTTCATGGAAGTGGCATCTGCTTAAAACTTAGCAGGATTAAGCAGGGCAGTCCTAACACACACAATGCATGCAAGCAGTACATTCAGCTGATTCTCTCACTGATAACCGCAATAAATGATGCTCATAAGCTTTTTCCCTAGAATTCTTTCCTTCTGTCTAAATCAGTTTTCTGACTTCTTGTGAACTAATTAATATGCGCATGTTTCTGATCCATTGACTTGAGTGTGTCCATCCCAGAGTTAAATTTCTCTTGAAGAATGATAAAATAAAAATACTGGATTATGTTGCTGGTGACAGATACTCATTCCTCCTACAGTATTGGGCACGATGATAAAGTAATCAAAGCTTTTTTTTTTTTTTTTTTTTAAGTTAATGGAATGACTCCACTAATGTCCACTGTCAGTGGGGTTCATGAACATTAACTCATCATTCTGAAAAAACAGAGTTACAGCCTAAAGTCATTCCCATGCCTTTGTTCTACAGTAGAATGAATGCACCGTTAGCTGTTAAATGTATTTTAATTCAAATGTGTTTGCCACTAGGACAGAAAAAAATACTGGAGGTTGGGTTTTGCATTGCTGAGAGCCATGGATCCTATTTAATACATTTTGAGATGATATTCAAGACAGAAGTGGATCCTTACAAGCTAGTATCTGTGCTCATAGGATGTAAGAATGCATTTCCTATTGTTTCTCCCTCCTCTCCCTTACTATGATGAGGACAGAGCTCTTGTGCACATAGCGCACACAAGCCATCAGACTGTCAGGCTGAATGCTGTACAAAGGCAGTGCCTTTGTAAAGCATGATTATCATATATGAGCTTATCTGAAGTTTTTTTCAAGGCAGTTTCTTACCTGGGTTTCCCACCAAGATCTTAGCTCACAAATCTTTATTCTCTGTCTTAAGCAAAGAGATAAATTTGTTTTGCCTTCTCAGCACAGTACAGAGAACAGGAATTGCAATTAATCTTAATCTGTGCTCTGATACCATCTCACTTGAATTTTTTTTTTGTCCACTTCTAAAAGGTCAAATGTTTTTGCTGATGTTAAATGTGTTATGAGGTCAAATAAATGAAGGCTCATTAAATGCTTTTGCAGAAAGCTGCATGCAGCAGATAATTTGTGTGTGCGTGTGTGTTCATTTCTCTGTTAGATAAATGCAGTTGTAGTATTTCCTGTTTTACGTGTTTTTCTAGAGCATTGATGCTTAGAAGGCCTGGACAGAGGGGTCAGTAAACAACAAATTAAGGGATTGCTCTTATATTATTCTGGTTGGGTATCATTTATGTCTCCATTTGGCTTTGAGGATGCCTGTGGACTGCTTTCTCCAGCTGTTGTGCTGCAGTGCTAGGCAGATGATCAGAAATGAAATGTTTGGCATGACAGTATGGGAGGGAAGTAATAAAATTGGTGGTTGGTCTATCTACCTATCCGTGCTGAAGAAAAGGAGAAAGAGGGCATTGCACCATTTCGTTACAAATCAATGGAATCTAAGGTTTAGACAAAGTCTGTTTTCTCATTCAGAAATCGGGTAAAGTGATTGCCAGTCCTTTCTTTGCGCTTTCCTCCAGCTGGTCTGTCCAACATAATTTGTTTCTTTCAGACAGGGCTTGGTGCTTTGCTTTGGAATCCAATTGCATTTGGCCCCAGAAAGAGCACACTAAGTCTCCTGCTTCCTTGCACTTGGAGGACGAGGCACATGGCTCACAAATTCCAGGCTGTGAGAGCTGTTATGGCTGGGATATAGCGTATCAGCTGCTGAATCAGGGGCTTGGAATTTGGGGATGGTTCTGTTGTCTTGTGACTGTAAAGGTTGGCGCATGGTTAGTTCAGGAAGGCTGGGATGTGTTACTTTTACTTACATCTAGTCAGCAGAAAACAAGGAAGGATTCTGCTTTTGGTTCTTCTAGTTTTGCATCTTGTTTCTGCCCTGTTGCAAACCTGAGAGTTCAATCCTCAGTATCCCTGATCTTGGAGGGGAAAACAATGTTACCTAATGCAAAACTAACTCAGTTTTGACAAAATTCTGGTGCACGTGGAGAACTGGGGCACGATACAGGTGAAGACTGCCTGATTTCTCTTACTTCTGCAGTTAGTGTAAAAGATCTTGCTGAAATCCAGAGATGCAGCTACACACTGAAGAGGCAGTCTGCTTAGCTACAGGTTGGCCAGATAAATTCCTGGTAAGACCCCTTTTGGCTGAACAAGAGCAGGTTTAGTTCCTAACAAGCTGGAAAGTGTCAGGATGGGTCTTCCAAAGCTCTCACTGTAACTTGAATTGGAAAAGGTTAATCTGATTAGTTAGTGTTTGCAAAGAGCTTTAAGGATGAAAAGTGCTATGTAAGTGCTGACTATTATGATCATGATAGATATGCTTTCTCAGCAGTTTGTGGGATGAGTAAGACTTTTTTCCCATTTGAATGCAAGGGATCTGCCTTCTGGAGAGCAGAAGAAAAATATTTCAGAAAAAAGAAAAAAAAATGGGTATCCTGTTACCTTACTGGTGTCTGCCTCCTGTTGAGCACTGTGCATGGTCATAATATAATGAACCTTTGACTGCACCAAATGATGCCCATGTGAGCCTATGACAACCCTCCAGTATAGTGCTTGTAGGACCTGTTTACTGGAAAGCTTGCAGATAGAGTGCCTGGCTTTTGGGGATTGTCCAGCTGGTAGTAGGTTCAGTGGGTAATGGTTTCAGAAGTGCTAAAGCAACTTGTATACCTTGAATTTTCTTTTTCAACAATGACAAGAAGACTTAAGAGCAGAAGTGTTGAAGACAGGGGTTTCCATAAATGGTGCTTTGGTACCTAAGTGATGAGGTTTTTTGCAGATCTCACTGTCTGATCACACGTGAGGCTTTCCAGCAGACAGCAGTAATGGATTCACAGACTGATTTTTGTTGTTGTTTTCAGTATGACTTTGACAGTTTTGTCATGGTGAGATACTTCTGACTGATGCTAACGCTGGGCAAAAGAGATCATCTAAATGGGATGCTTATGAGTTCTGCAGGACTGCCTCCTGCAACAATTTTCTTGGGTCCTGCCTTCAGTTCCCCAATTGACTTTCTGATTTCCATCCCGCTGTTTTGACAGTTTCCCCTTTAGCAAGTCAGAGAGATGTATTTTCTTCGAATAGTTGCAGTCCATCAGCTCTCTGCAGCATACCTTGAACCGGGGGTGTGGCTGGTGTTCTGTCTGGGAAGGCACATCCTACTGAGCAGCAGCAGAGCCAGCTTGACATACAAACTCCTGTTTTAGCAGCGTATCAACGTAGTGACCTGGGCTGGCTTTATTCTCACCTGGAAGATTATCAGCTATGCTTCAGGCAAGTTACTCATGCCGGCTTACAGACCAGCTCTTAATCTCTTGTACTTTTCTGTTTTGTCCACTTCAGAAATTTCCATTGCAGGTCACATCTGGGGTTTTTATTTCTTGTTTTTCTTATTTTTTGGGGGGTGTTGGTATTGTTCCAGTATTTGGTACACAAAGTGCAGACTCAGAAACTGAACAAAATCGCATGTTTTATGGAAAGGAAAATCCTCATGGGAGGCGCAGCCAAAGTTCATGATTAATTTCTAGAGCATGCATGCATGCCATGTATCAGGGAGGGAGGGGAGCTGCTTCCTTTATCCTTTATGCTTCTTCCATCCTCAAAAGAAACATTTGTAGCTGGTAAGGCTTTTAGATGTGGGATCTGAAAAACTGATTTCTGCCAACAAAAAAAGACCCAGACTTGAATTGCCTTGCAGGTTCTGTCAGGTGATGTTGGATTGTAAAAAGGTGTTTCCATCCTGAATAGGATTTTTAACCGTCTCTTGCTATCAAGAATAGTCTTCAGAGGCTGCTCCTTGCTTTGACTGCTGTCAGATGTTCCGAGTGGGGGGGAAAAAAAAAAAAAAAAAAAAAAAGAAAAAAAAATACTAGAGTGTAGTTTATAGAGTAGCTTCTACCTTCAAAGCTTGCAGGGAGTTACAAAGGAGAGTGTGATGAAATAATCCTCCATTTCCCATGTGGAAACTAGGGCAGAACGGAGGAAAGAACTGGTTTGGTGACTGGTGTGCTTTCCTGGTGGCTGAGGAAACCCACGTCCAGCTCCCAGCTTTCCCGCAGGCTTCCGGGGTGTCGCATCAGTGAGTCACGCAGGACAAGCAGCTGGCAGGGCTGACTCTGGGTCCCGACTTCTCCCTAGCTAGCAGAGCCCGGCTTCTCCAAGCGGTGGTGCGGAGTTGGACCTTAAGGTGTGCAGTTCCGCAGAGGCGTTTAGGAGAGTAGCCTTGATGAAAATCATCTTTTTAGCATCTTTGTGGCTCTGTAGTCACTTCCAAATCCCTTAAGTGTTGGAAGAATGAATAGAGAGTGTGAGCGTTGGAGCGATAGGAAGATGGTAGATAACAGAAGCAGGAAGATGCGAGGACAGTCAGCAAGTCAGTGGCTGAGCTGTGAGTAAAACTCCGTCCTCTTGATCTAATCCGCAGACAGCACATCTGTCTCCTGGCTGCTCTGGCTCTTCCCTGCTCTCTTGATCAAAGGCTAGATCGACCTGTGGGCTAGGAGACCATTGTCGCCTTTGTGAGCTGAGTGTTCTGTCTGTTCTTTTTTGAACTTAGGTTTGTGTGAAGTCCCCCATTCCCTCTGCCCGAATCTCTTCCTCTGAAGCGGTCACCAGCGTGTGGAGCCTGCCCCACACCCGTCACCTGCCAAACCACGGCCTTTACCTGTGTCTTCCGGTGTTTCCCGTGCGACCCGTCCTGCGGGAGTGCCTCCTGGGCCACCCCAGAGTTCACGCAGCGCTCAGTGGCTCCAATGGTGAAGATGACAAGGTCCAAGACTTTCCAGGCATATCTGCCTTCGTGCCACAGGACCTACAGCTGCATTCACTGCAGGGCTCATCTTGCCAACCACGATGAGCTCATTTCCAAGGTACGTCCATGACTTCACCCGCAGGTGCTGGGTGGACGCCTCCTCCCCGGGAAGCGGAAGGGTGCGTTCGCTCGCACTGCAGGTCAGTTGCTGTGGAAGTGCCTGGCCTTAACCAGTACTGCAGTTTTTGCTTGGAAAACGGGCTCTCAGCCTAAAGGATCTATTTGTGAGCTGCCATTTTTGTTTTAAGTGATCTTGAAAGTAGCTGTAGGGGACAGGTTTCCAAATTCGGGCCTCTGGAGCGCTTACAGGTGATCTGTCTCTTCCCATGATACCGCCGCCTCCCTCTCATTTCCAGCTGTAAAACTGCCCTAACTGATGGCCAGGACTGCATAAATTACCTTCCCGATACTTCTTACTCACGTACAAAGGGTTGTTGCATGATCATGATTTGGAGGCAAAGTGTCTGGAGATGTTCACTCTGTTAAATTCTGAGCCGTACCAAGTGACTACGCTAAAGCCCCTACTTAAGGGAAGGTTCTCTGATGCTTCTACGGAAATGTAAGATGGCTTTCCAAAGACTGATGGGTTGTTGGTCAAACCCTCGTATTTTTGCCAGTCTACTAACAAGACACTTGGCAGTGAAAAAGCAAGGGATGGATGGTAGGATGTGCTCTGAGCTGGGGAGAGTGGAAGGATTGCGTCCTGTCTTCTGATCTGTTGATCACAAGGGGAAGGGTCTTGAGGATAAGCTAAATTAAAAGCTTTCAGAGCCAGTAAGTCAGGGGCCTTTGATGCAGAGGGAGCAGGCCAGTAAGAGGATCTCTTTCTGAAGTGCGAAAACTAAACTTTCTCAGAGTGTCTGTTGGAGCCTGCAGTGCCTTGCTGTGGTCAGGCATCAAATTTCCAGGTTTTGGCTGCCTTGGCAATCAACTGTTCCATAAAGTTTATTCAGCTTATAAAATTTGTGTTCAGAAAAAGCAGACACACCATAAGATTTATTAGCTGAGATGAGAGGAAATTGCACTGTGAGCTCTGTGTGTGTGCGTGCTCAAGTTAAACCAGTTCAAGCTTCTTGGAGCAGCTTTGAGAAAAAGGCCAGGATCACAAGGGACAGAGGTGCTCTGCCCGATAGACAGCGTGTAGTGCTTCCCCCCTTCCTGTTTGCACAGAAAAGATTAGAATGTGTCACCTTGCACCAAGGGCATCTGTCCTTATAGGGTTGACATCTTAGCAGCTGTGAAGGTCCTTTTGGATTCTCCGTGTTGGGTGCTCAGACCTGTCTCCTTCTGTTGGAGGCTGTCTCCTTCCTTTTTCTCTTGCTTGTTGCGTGGGCCAGGTTGAGCCGCACCTCTGTGATGTTGTCTCCATGCCAAACAATTGAATTTAAGTATTCTGGTATGAATAATGCTGATGGCAGACTGCTACAATTTTAGTTTTCACAATTTCTGAATAGACAGGCTTCCTATTAGGCTATCACTTCTGAGTCATTCTGGGCCTTGTGGGGCCTCCTCTTGTTCTGGTACAGTTGCAGTGGTTCTTAGCAGAGCTGTCCTTGAGGGCTGCAAAGCTTCAAGCTTTTAAAGAGGAGGAGGTTGTACATTTCCTCAACAGAAAGAAGTTTTGAAATGTAAATGTCAAAAGCAGTCTGTGCCCAGGTCTGGATGTGAAATACATTCAACCTCTTGGACCAGCTGTGTGACTTCAGGCTCCCGTGCTCAGTTGAGATATCTGTAAAATGGGGTAGTCACTCCCCTGCCTTTTTATTGGGAGAGTTGTTACCAGCTGGATTTTGTGTTGGAACACAATATGCTTTACTGAATAAAGAAGGAGACTTGCTTTACTTACTGTTTTTATGGTGGATTGGAATTTGTGCTCTGCTTTTTTTGACACGGCTGGTCCCCAGCCAGGGAAAACACAAGGCTATGCATGCCTGGTGGTTTCACCTTTGACACTTCCTTCCCCTCCTTGTTCCATATCCATGCTCTTTCTGGTCCGCTGTGCAATGCAGCCAGCTTTGCAGGTAAGTAGCTTCCAGCAGGGCAATGCCAGTGCTGCAGACTGCTTGGAATTTGAGCTTCTAGCCGTTGAGGCATGCAGTAACTGCCCAGGAATGCTGACTGGTAAAATGTAGACACGGGAGGGAAGATAGGAAAGCACAATATGAGGCTATGTGTATTGAATCATGGAAGTATTAACTACAGTGTGCTGCGGAGCTTGTACCTGCTCGTTCTAAAAGTTCGTTGTAGGCTGTGGTGTACATTTGTAACAGTGTTGGGACCACGTTGTTGGTGGAGCACATGCAACTTGAATGCAAAGGATTTGGGGTTTCAGGTTTTATTTCTCAGAGTTATAAACCTTAATAAGATACATTCTTTGTATAATTGAAAACCTTACAAAAGTAATTGTGCAATCATAATTTGTACAACTGGCTATTAAACTGAGAACAGAAGGGCAGTCCCTGCCTCAAGGGGTTTCCAGTATGCGTAGAAACTTTCCCAGGCAAACTTAAATAGTCATCTTTTTATCTGTTTCAGTTAGGTTTTAAACATCTCCCTGAGGCCGCCTGCAGTTCTTTCATCACAGCCTTATATTAGCATCTAAGAACCAGGCTGTGCAATTGCTGTGCTTGTTTTCCATATGAAAATATGGCAAACGGAAGGAAGAAACAAGCACCGTGAGGATTGAAAAGGGAGTGGGAGATTTTGTCAAACCGGAGTGTTTCTCAGTCTGCAGTGTATCCCATCTTGGACCTGACTATGTCACTTTAATCAAAACAGCCCAAATGACACCATCCTTGGAAGCATTCCCCAGAAAACAGGCTTTTATGTAACAGCAGGGTGTTGGTGATTTGGCTTGATGAAATTAATTCCTCTATTCCTTTTGCCCCAAGGCAGGGACCACATGAGAGCTGTGCTGCTTTGCATGCCATGAGCTTTTAGCTCCTTTGGATACATATAAATTGCAGCATTGGCTCATGCCGTTGGCTGAAACGCAAGCTGGATCTGAATCCCAGTATTGTTCTGTGTCAGTCCATACTTTATTTCCTCTTCATCTCCAAGGTTCCCCTCTTAGCCCTTCAGCACCAGTGTTAACTTACTCAAAGTATTTTGCCAGGACCGGGTATCCGAAACTCTTTGACAAATATGCCTTGGCAGGGCAGTTTTTGCTTTCTTTTCTACTTAAGGAAAACTTTGTGCATTAAAATGGGTAGAAGGTTTCTCAATAAGCCGTTGCTATTTAAAGAAAATCAATGCCGAGGCTTTTAAGAAAATCCGAAGCTGTTACATGAAGCCAGTTACCAAAATGTTGCCTGCTTACTTGGCCTTTTATCTTCTGCAGCCGGAGGGAAAAAGTGGTTTAGTTTGTCTGATTTGTAATAAGATCTAAATTGTGGGCTGGATCGTCTGGCCAAGAAAGGTCTTACTGACTTAGGAAATAAAAGGTGATCAGGTAGATTGGGTGGAGTGGAGTTCCTTTATATGTCTGGGTTAGTATGAGTGGAGGTTCTTGTTCCTTGTAGCAATGCATCATAAAAATCTGTGCCAAATTTAGTACATACTCTTGTTTCATTGCTTTTTCCAATGCTTAAGTGGACTGAGACTTGGGAACTCAACCTTGCCCTGCAACAGATTCCTGTGCGACCTTGAGAAAGTCACTTAATGTCTTTGTTCCTCCTATTGAAATGCTGCTGTTTTGTCCAGTCTGTTTGGAAGATAAAGCTTTGGAGCAGGTACTGTCTGCTCTTAGGAATTAGTACAGTGTGTCCTAATCCTCTTTGGCTTTACTGTAAAAACAACAATACCATGCCAGGCGACTGTAGTTAAAAAGCATATTTCAGTGCCTTCCAATTGCCAAAAAATAAGTGAAAGATACTCCTCGTTACATTTATCTTTCCCAGGCACAACATCCCATGGTTTTTAGAATGTTTAAGAAAAATATATATTTGATAATCAATGGTGGCAAAACCTCTCCAGGAAGGAGGTAGAGGGGCTTTTCTTGAGAAGTGTGCCTTCCGCATCATTTTCTACTGAGACCTGGGGGGACAGCTAACATCATAGATATTCAACAGTGTAAACAGCATCTTTTCTGTTTCTCAAAGTGGCAGATGTGATCCTAGGTTTCTGCCTAGTTTGTGCTATTCAAACTCTTTGTCAGCCTTTTCTGTTTGAATTCATATGTACCTGGTGTCCAGTAAAAAAGGACGGGAACAAGAGCAGAAAGATACAGGCCAAACAGCTGCATTACTGTCTTGGTTGCCGACTTTTTTTGTTATGTGAACAGTAATTCAGCAGAAATGTCCCTGATTATGGAACTATGTAGGGAATGTCTTGTGGGCGTCCTGCAGTTTCTTTTTTTCATGAATTACTGTGATCCAACTGCTAAACATTATGTAGTGATGTATCCTCTGAAGTTAGCCTAAGGCTTGCTGAGGAAGTGTAATGTTTTCCTTTGATGTCTGCGCAGGACCCTTACTGAACACGAATGTGAAATCCTTCAACGCAAAAGGCTGCAGCTCCTCCAGCATAGAGAATTTAGAAAAAATAGAGAACTTGTGTGTGCCTGACCTTCTCAATTGGGGTTCGGTTGTTAGATAGGGAACACTTAGAAGCTCTCTTTTCTATCTTCCTCGATAGGAGTTGCAAGGTTTGTAAGCAAACCTTGCTCCCAAACATTGTGGCCTAGCTGCTTCCCTGGCTAGCAGACTGCTGGAGCTGAGCTTGTTGGTACAACAGCCTCTTGGTGAGTTTTATGGCATGCTGAAAGCATCAAACTTTGCTCCATGTTGCAACTGGGGGATCTTAAAAGGATTTGAAACTTTGGTGCCGGCTTTCAGATAAGTTGTGGATGAATTCAGCTATTTCGAAGCATTTGATGCACCATGTATAAGTGAAGTAAGCAGCCGTTGTTGGGCTTTTTGTTTTTCTTTTTTTTTTTTTTTTCTTCTTCCTTTCTTTCTATGTGGGGAAGGCAGTGTGTAATGTTCTTAGCACTTCGCTTCTCATGAAGCAGCCAGTGTTTGTATGTCAGTTCGCCTTGAAGACATGAAGTTATTTGCT